GGGCAAAGCCTCTCTGTGCGCGCTGTCTCTGTTGTCCATGCTGCTTCTGGCCTGCAGGGTCCCCAAGCGCCGAAAAAGTATCGCAGCGCATCCGTTTAAGGACTGTCTCGACAAACGGCGCCTCGCTGTCGAGAGTTATCGCACTCCAAACCTATGATCCAAAATAACAGCTGTTCGGAACTCATAATTACCAGAGCAATAGCGGCAACAGCAATCCCAGCGTAATTTGCAAATAATCAACTGTAGCCAGGAACTGGCAGCACCTCACCTCTCCGTAGGCACCCCCCCCTAAACGCCCAAAAACTCGGTAGCGGGAACCGGAACCACTGCTGCTACTCCTGCTGTTCCTGCTGCTGTCCTGTGGTGACGGCAGGGATGGCCAGTGAAACCAAAATGGCAAGGCACGAAGAATTCTGCACAAGCGCACACGTGTTTCTTTCGCGTTGCGTTTGACTGTCAATATGAGAGTATACTTCTACAAATGGGGCGACGTTTCATTGAGCAACTACATGGGGCAGTCATTTTGCATCCTTCTATCCCCGTCTCTGTTTGTGCTTTGTCCCCCATCCTCTACCCTCGCCTTTGGCTAGTGCCCTGAAACACCGAAGCCTCCTACATGGAAGGATCAATGCAGAAACCCTGGGATTTGACCGCTGCCTGCCGGGAGACGACCACATCGAAGCGTACAGAGACTACCGCTGCTGCAAGAGCTGCTCCTGTTGCTCCTGTTGTAGCTTTTGCTGCCCCTTTGTCAGGAGGGAGAAGCAGCGGTCTAGAACGAGGTTCAGAAGAAAGGTAGGGTGGCTCGCTCGTCCGGCTCCAAGAACCATTGGTTTGTTTCCACGTGGTCGACTGGTCAAGACCGCCATTGTCGTAGCAGCTGCTTCTGGTGGCAGGAGCAACAGATTCATGCGCAGAAGCAGCATCAGATGGCTTCAGATGTATCTGCAGCTGCCCGCCTGTAGAGCCACTGTCCTCAGGAACACCAGAGAAAGCCCATGATGTAGGATGTAGCTGTTCAAGCAAGAGGTACTTACCCTCGACAAGAGAGCCCCTACCCACAATCTTTTCCTCACCGAAGTTGCTGACAAGCTGTACTGTCTCTGCGCGTATGTCAGCCACACTTCGATTGGAGGAAGGCAAGCCCAGCTCCAGTACGTCCGGAAAGTCATGTGATGAGCGAGGGACCTCACTATTTGCCATCTTCGCGCTGCTGCTGCAGGAATGGGCAGCAGTAGGATGAGAGAATGAACCATCTGGAGAACAGTGACTGTTGCTGATACAGCTAGCACTGCAGACAGTATAGGCGACGGCAAGCATCCAGATGCTGAAAGGCAAGGCGTTGAGACGTGACATTGCATCGTAAGTAGTCATTCTCAGTCCTACTAAGGAAGTGGAGGCGCTTAGAAGGCCGAAAAGGAAAAGCTAGAAATATGAGTGAACCGCTGCATTGCAGACCGAAAGAAAATGCTGCAGACGGCGGCATCACGAGGCCCTGGCATGCAGCAACACCCCCCGCGAACGGAGACAATATCGCAGGCGGTGCGACAATGAAGAAACGACCCTGGCCTGTTCTTGCACGAAGAAGGTTTTCCAGCTCCAGCACGCCTAATGTGTTATATGCAGCCCTCGCTAGTACGCTTTTAGACAAAGTGGTACACCGGAGAGGCTCAAGCGAAGAACTATCCTTGAAATAGACTCTGTAGAGTTAGTCTTGCATTTTTTGGGTAAAACAAGGCTTGAGCTTCTGTGGGTTAATCTGCTCACACAGCGGTTTCCCAGCCTCCACCCCAAGAGTAGCTGGAAACCGCCCTGTCTTGATAACTCCACGGTTCTTCGGGCCTTCAGAATAAAGGGATTGCGTTTAATATTGCACTTGAACTTAGTAAATAGCATGCTGCCGGGAGCAATTTTCTTCCATGGCTGTAGGGGTCCTCAAGGGGCGATTTGTACTTGGTGTGTCACCATGGCATCGGCAGGAGCGAGCGGCATGATGTTCCGTATGTGTTCGCTTCAGGGACTATGGTCCATACATTGGACAGAATTTGCATAAATGACGGCAAATTCATATAGACTGAAGAAAGCAAGAGATCGTCTCCTTCTTCTTTCACTGAGATGTGCCACTGGCTTCCCAAATAGTGAAGCGGTTCAGGGCTCTACAGTCCAGTTTGAAAGAAGTTTCCTACCAGTTTCATAATATCCCGCTAGAAGTTTTCTCGTGTAAAAGCTCATTTGCTACTTGTATGTATGACGTGCAGCCCGGTGGATAACCGCAAAGTGCCCTTGGCCTGACGTTCAGGTTTCCACCGCAAGTTTAAATCTACAGCATTCTTCAGGTCCCGTGACTTCAAGGTATTTTGACAGGTTGACTCCCAAACATTGGCAGCCTACGAGTTATGACTAAAGGCGCGTTAAAGAAGTGACGACGTGGAGATTTACGCTGAAGGTTCCACAGCTGCTGTCGAGGGTCTCTAGTCCTGACCCGCTTCAACCGGTCTTTGTATGTGCACTACCGCCTTGTCGAACTTGGGAGGCCTGTATCTAGCAATTAAAGCTTCAGCTTGTGACTGTGTGCTTAAAGACTCATAGCGATCGCCCGTGAGCACCTTTGGCCCGACTACGAGATATTTGTGTAGAAGTCGGCTTATATTTGCCCTCTCATTCGCCATTTTCCCACCGAATCTTCAGGATGCGGCCCAGAGGCATCGTTTGTAACATGTGTGGGGGGGAATTCTTCGCTCGGTCACTTCCCATACACCAGAAAACGTGTGCAGAGAAGCAAAAGAGCATTCGCTTAACATGTCAGCACTGCGGGCAGGAGGTGCTTAAGCTTGAGCTAGATCAGCACCTTTCGCGCTGCCCAAAGGCCCCCAAGGTTGCGACGCAGTCCCAGGCGCCGGGGTCCAGCAAGGCCTCAAGTGGGCCCATCAGCACAGCTTTCGACGAACAAGGGAGGCTACAGTGTGCGGTCTGCGGTCGCTGGTTTAACGCAGATAGGATCGCGACACATCAAAACATCTGTTCGCGCATCTCCACGCACAAACGTCAAACATTTGACTCATTTAAGCAAAGGAAGTTTGACCCTCTGATACAGAAGGCCGAGCCACGACCGGACTCGCCCTGTTGGTGCAGTGTCTCAGCTGCACGTTCGTATTACACCACCTCTAACCCTTCAGCGCAATGCGGCCGCACCTTAAAGGAAACATCACAGAGATCCAAGGCAGCAAGCACCAAGGGAGGGCACGCCGCTACTGGGCTTACAACATCTCCGCAAGCACGAGGGTCAGTAAGGCCAGCGGGGCAGCGGCCGCCTGCAGTCATGCACGTCGAACAAGCATCGACGGTGCGTCGGGAACCCTGTCCTGCCAACCGTGGTGGCCTCTCAGGGTTGCCTGCGGGCTCCGGTGGTGCTACCACAGGGCCTATGAACACTAGTGGTGTCAGCAGGATAGGAGGGGCACGCCCGGCTGCCACTGCTCTGACTACTGCTTCTGGAAGCAGCAGGGTAAAGGAACCTGTGGGAGTTCAGGGGAGGAAAATCAGGGGCTCAGGGAACGTTACCAAGGGGCAAGATCCGCCAAGGCAGTCCCCAGGAAGGAGGGGACGGGAGGTAGCACCTTTGGGGCGACCGGGCCTTACAGGGCCTTCCAGAGGCCTTGGCGGGATCTCGACGTCCAATGTTTGCAGTCCAGACAACGCCTTTGCGTACCCGAGCTACCCTTCATGAGTTAGTTTCAAGAAAATCACATCTATCGTGGTCTTTCGGACCGCATGTGTTTTATGGGCTTATGTAATCATCTGCATTTCTGTGTGTGCGCCGTTGAATTGGTTGCTTTGACCACTTTTCCTTTCTTTGTGTTGGTGTTAAAACGTGTTTAAAGGCTGTGCTTTGAGAGATCTGAACAAGATGCCTGTAGTACCCCACTGCTTCTGAAGGAAATTTGCATTGAGTCCGTCAGTTACGTCACCAACTAACTCACTGGCCAGGTGCTGCAGCAGATATACGGAGAAATTGAAGGCCAGGCTGTAGTCAGGTACCTAGACACCGCACATCAATGTAGCAGCGGTGTTTTGCTTCTGGGTGGCCTCACAAAAGCAGGAACCTGCAGCTTGGGCGGTGCCTTCCACAGTTAGAGCAACTGACAGAAACAAACACCGTCGACAGCGACGGAGAGACGTAGTCTTTCCCTTCGTAGCGTTTATGTGCGCACGTATACGTGGAGCAAGCAGCAGCAACCAAAGCACCAGAACCAATGGGACCCTTCATGCATGCTTCTGCCACATTCATTGGCTTCAAGCTGACTTCCCTTGGCTGCATGTGTGTATGCGCCTATGGGATTACGTGTTACATGTGCTCGCTTCTGTTGTTCATCACGAAAGTTTTGGTTCTCCATCCTTCAGATACGCGTAGGCGTGTACAAAGAATGCAGCTGCTGCGTTTAGAGCCCTAGTAGGGTTCCAGCAGCCCCGCCGGAAACGAGGCAACGTTGGTGCCCTTCTGCACTGTTTCCCCGTCTCTAAGATACGTCACACGGCACTTCATGAGAAGTGGCTTTGGTTCATTTTGCGGGCTCGTAGCTGCTACTGACACTGCTGGGCAAGAGGTGACACGCAGGCGCTGCTGCACTGGAGGGGCCCCCGGAAGCACTGTTGAGTCTGTCGGGGGGTCCAACTGCAGCTGGAGGTACTTGGGTACAGCAGCTTCAAACCGAAACTGCAGCAGCGGCTTGCTGCTTGGGCTTGCTGTGAACTCGGCAACAATCTCACAGGCTGCCGAGGGCAGCCGACGGCACTTCAAAACAACGCGCAAGCCTTCTTCATCCAGCACCTGCACTGCAAACACACCATCACGTCCCCGTGCTGCTGAATCCGGGGTATTTTCTGCATTCAAAGCCAATGCTAGTGGATCAGTAGCGCCTCCTGCAGCTGCCGTAGTTTGTGGGCTGGGAGGGCTCAACGCAGACTCCAGCAGAGAAGCAAGCGGCTCGCCGGAATTCACCGAGGGTGGCGAGACCGCTGCAGAGCTTGATGATGCTGATGGCGGATTCACAAGGTCAATAAGACCCGCAAAAGGGTCTGTGGTGACTGTTGGTGGAGCAACGGTTCCTGTTGCCCCGCTAGAGTGCTGGGAACTTGGTTGTACCGCTCCAGGCGAAGACAGAGATGCCCCTCCTAAAAGGTCGGCAAGTAGATCCAAGCCGCCGTTGCTGCTGCTGCTGTCTGCTGCGCCGCTGCTGCCAGAAAGAAACTGAAGCGCCTCCTTTTGGGAAGGGGGCGGGGAGGCGGCAAGGCCTAAAAGGTCGTCGAGCTCGAGTAGTTGCGCTGCAGCGACACTCCACGCCAGTACATGTGAAGCCATTGGACATGAATAAGACAGCAAATGCCGGAGTGTACAGAGACTGCTCAGGCGGGCAAAAAGTAGAGACAGGGGGGGCAAAGCTAAGCAAGTACGGAGGGAGAGAGATGTACATTAATAACAGAGGACAGATGACTAGACGGAAACCACCGCATGTAGTACCACAAAGAAGAGACAAAGTGGCAGTCCAGCTCTGCCAACGAGAAAAGGGAAGAATAGGGAATAGCGAAGAGTAGTTAAACGCACACACCTCCCCCAGTGCCGTTGACAGCCTGCGCTTTGTTTGCTGTCAAGGGACCTGAAGTGGGTAGGCCTCTCTCTCCTGTAGGGGACAAATCCGAGGGAAGATCTGCTAGGTCGAAGCAGACCTCCCCTACTGGTTTCTCCCGATGCTGCTGCTGCTGCTGCAGCGGCATCCGCTCAAAGATTGCCCCAATGTCCGCCGGCTGCCACTCCGTGGACTCCAGCAGTGACACGAACTCCAAGCTGCGTTGCTGCACCTCCAGCAACCTGCTGCTCGTGAAGTTCCGCAGCAAGCTTAGCAGCCTACTCCTCTGTCGCAACACGAGACAAGGCCACCGCCGGAAACAGCAGCACGTGAGACGCAGAATGGCAGGTAAGAAGCAGCTTAAAGATGAACTGACATATTCGCAAGCAAAAAAGAATAGACGTGCGCATGCAGGAAGGAAGAACACACGGGGAGACCGATTAGGCGACGGGGAGAAACGGATAGACGAAGAGACCCGGAGATGAAACGACCAGACACTGACAAAGGCAAGCGCATACAGGGAAAAGACAGGCACAGCAGTAGGCACAGAGACAGATACGGAAAGACCCAATACGGAGA